TTTTTTCCAGTATGACATTTTATTAAAGTTCTTTATAAACTCAAACTAAGTATAAAAAAATATTAAAAAATTTTTTGTTTGTTTTATTATGAAATAAATACTGTTTAATACAGTTTCACATAAAGAGGACCTGATTTTATTAACATCGTTCTTCAACCTCCACAGATTTATACTAAGCTCCACCTCTAGGGTGTTGCCATGTCCGTGAATCGAAAATAAATATGACTGTTGGTTTAGTTGATTTTTAAACACTGTTTAATTGATGTCCACTTGCACTAAACGTAACTACGTCTTATATACCAATACTATAATGCAAAAAAACACTCTAAAGAATAGTATTAAACGTGTCTTATCAATTTAAGCATTGGTTTAAGACGTACTTAAGTTCAGTGCAACTGGACATAAGACTTAAGTCTCAAAGTTTCAAAATTGAGACTGGAATCATCCGCCTTCCAGTCTCAAAAATGGCAAAAAATTAGAGAGACTCACGAAATTCTCGCACTCCCGAAATTATCGCTACTAATCATAGTGGTTACTTTTTACATCTTTTTTAATTATTGCGTGTGTACCTATTTTAGTTTTTGAAATCTGCGTACTGACCACCGTTACAGCAAAGTCGGGAGAATAAAATACATTTTTTTTAAAACGTTTTTATTATTACAAAAAAAACTTGATAGAAAATCGCTATTATCACAGATACAACTTAAATTTTAATAAAAAAGGCCTGAAATAAAATATTAATAATAAGAATAAATTATTAGTAACTTCGTTCCATTTTAGGCGATAGGGGCTACCATATTATGTTTACTGTACCAAATTGTACGATATTTCATTGATTCGTGATATCTTTTTATGGTGGCCAATCACATGTCTTAACTGTCAATCACTTGAAAATATTAGTCTCTGATTGGATACTTTCGATATTTAGACAAGATTTTTTTTAGAAAAAACCAAACTTGCGTATCACGATAGCTTGAATCTAAAATTGCTGTCGGCTATATTTGTTTACATTTTGAATCATTAAAAAAAAGAATATGTGCGCTTTAGAAACAGTGATACAGTTAGCCCCCATTGATATGTTTGAGCGCCTAAGTACAAAAAACGCATTTCAAAATCTTAAACACGTATAAAAGTGAGTTATACATATTATTGTTAGTTGACGTGGCATTAGCTGTACATAGTAAGAAACAACATAAAGAAGTTTACTTGAAACTTTGTCTTTTACTTCCATCTTTTATTTCTTTCTTCGACTAGATAGCAAATGTTTTAAAGGAAGAACGTAAAAGATAAAAAGATCAGCGTTGATATTTCTGGCTCTGTTACCATTTAAACCACTGTTTCTACTAATGACCTCGCACAATTTTGACAGTCAAATGGCAACACTGTAAAAAGTAGAAACAGTGTTCAAATAGAAACAATGAGCCCTCAGACAAACGATCCGAGAGACAAAGGGCAACACAATCAAAAGTTTAACAGAGGACACAAAATTTTAATAATAAATTGTAAGTTTACAAGTCAACTTCTTCGCATTGTCCCGGTTATTATGTATTTAAAATTGTACTTAAAATTAAGACAAATAAGTTTTATAACATGAATTCTTAAAATGCATCTTTGCACTACAAAGTTATTGAAACTAGTCATAACTATTTTTTGGCAGTGCATGTTATATTACAGATGGCAGCACACGACACTATTTTAGTCACAGAACAATAAATACAGTTAAAGTGTTAGCGTCAAAGCGTGCCAACTATTACAGCTCTTGAAAGACCTATATCTGACCTCAGTTCGCCATTTTCGCTTTGTATGGTATGGTTGTGTCATTCTTTCGTGCAAACTCTAAAATCCTAGAAAAATGCCTTATTGTGCTGTTTTTAAGTGCAAAAATGATAGCCGCACCAAAATTATTACCCGTGGTGGTGTTTCATATCATCGGAAAGTCTTATAAATTTTCAGTTTTCTGTTAATCGAGATATTTTTTCTGTCACAAGAAACTAAAGTAAAGCTTATACCCTTGCTTTATGGTCGCTTCTTGTTTGGAGAACTAAACTTATAACCCCAATACGTCGTCGTTCAGCAATGAACCGCTAGATGGCAGAACATTAATTGATTTCAATATAATATCAAAACGTCGTAACTCATAATAATAGGTATAGATGGTATTGAACTTTCAACGATATGCCAACAGGGTAAAGTTTAAATTATATTAACAATCCAGAATTTATGTATGTATTTTAGCACAAATATGTTTCATAGAAAACAGTGTGACATGCCACCATCTGCGATAAATTATAAGTAGATGAGAAAAGTAGCTAGTACTCAACTCCGACCGTTTATGCTGGTGCACGCCTTATGGTCTGGTTTTACGGTCGACTAAACACTCGAGGTGAAACTCGACCAACGGATGCAAGGGACTTGCATAGTTTTTGCATAAAACTGCACACAATAGAGTTGTCGAAGTGACAAAACAGAGGGAATACAATCCCTCATCGCCCCTAGTAGTGAGGTACTACTACTGAAGGTGTGAACTAGTTCAAAAGGTCAGGCTAAATTCTACTTACAACTAGATAGATATAATAAAAACTATATAAAAACACCGTAGCAACTAGGTAGGCAACAATACAGTCTTATGTAGCATAAGTATTGATATTTTACATCTTATTTCTAGAATAAACTGGATGAGTTCAAAATCTAAGTTCGGTAACATTATTACGAGTTCATTTAGTAATGTTCCCATTGTGGAGAATGCTCATGGTTTAGGGAAAAAACTAAATCTCATCGTGAATGAATTACATCAGATTAATGCTTCTTAAAGTCTGGTCTCTTGTTTTGCTTTCAGTGTTTCAAGTTTTGCTTTTATTGACACATAAAATTTTAAGATCTATTCTGCAACTCACTGTTAGTGAGTACTCAATTTTGGTTGAACAATCCTATAAAAACACGTAAATTCATTTCAAGTAAACGAAAAAGAAACAAAGTTCGTTAAAAAATTCGAGTGAACGGAATATATTGCACATCAAAAAATCGCAATGACAATATAAAATATTCTACAATATTTAAATAGAATAGAAATAATAAAATAGAAACTGTCTCCGAAATTAAGTAAAGAAAAGTAATCTGAAAATTACCTATATAAAAGAATAAGTGCGCATTTGTCCTCCATTTCACGTGATAAAAAGTGACGATGAGGTCCACAATGGAGCGTACACGCCTAAATAACGCCTATTAAATTTCTTGAAAAAGCACAAGTTACAGCATTCAGGGAATAAGTCTGCAGGTCCGAAAAACTCCATAGGAATGTGGAAGCGCAACGTTTCGTATGAATCTTTAGAATATCCACAGCATAGGGGTGGGCCTACGTCTACTCCACAGATTTTGGAAAGGTGAAGGTGGAATTAAATCGTGTAATGCTTTTGCACTCTCCGTTATAAGTATGTAAGTCTGTTGGTTTGCCAAATAAATAATGAAAGTGTCAAATTGATCAAATTATGAATTCCGTGCATCAAATTCGTTTTTTGGGTCAAGTTGAAACGTTCAATGTTACGAACGCATAAATAATGCAATATTAATTGATTGCATGTGCAATGTCACGACAATAATTCCAAATAAACATGTTATATATACCCAGAACAAATAAACAAGTCAATAAATAATATTTCTTAGATGCCAATTTGGAAGGCTATCATAAAAAAGAGGAAAAATCCACCAAGTCTGAAATAAGTTTTCCTTATCTGTTTTTTTGCATAAGTAAATAATAAATAATGCATGATGTAAAGTTGGCAAATAGAATTTTGCATGACAGTTAGACTCGTCTAACAAGTGCTATTTCAAGCAGGTTATTTTAATAGCGGTCATACGTGTCTTTTTACGATAATGTATTTATTATTTAAAATATCCTCCAATGTCAAGTTCCTCCTCAGATTGAAATCTGGTAAACATTTATGCACAAAAAATTTCCCCAATATTAAAATTCCAAAGCATCAATAATGTGTACTGATACACATTATTATAATAGCATATATAGTATAACATATCAAGCTGTACTTTGACTGATCTTGTTTCGTTGCACTGGAGGCGACATTCAAACAAAAGTCCATAGCTTGATGTGCTGTTGACTGTACAAAGGGTGTAAAATGTCAAGCACGCAATAATTTAAAAAATGATAGTACAACATGCACCTCAAATAAAAAAAAAGGGTTAAGTTTTTCGTACTATTCAGGATTAATGACTCCATAAGTCAAACGTCCTAGAACAGCAGTCATGGAGACTTATCACGTAACCTAGTTTTTATCTGTAGGTTGAATGGGGCACGCCCGCATCTTAACGTAGGTCAATGCCAACTGCATCGTTACTTGTAAATGTTATAAGAGAAGAGGTGTACAAAATGTATAGATATTATTGTTTAAGTCACTGTTGGGAGCGTTAATTTTAACTTTATTACAAAGGTTGAAATATTACTTTTGTACGCTAACTTGTGCTAATCTTGATTTTTGATATCTCCATGAAATGGCAACGGTTCGAAAACATCTACTTGCGACCTTTAGTCATGTCACTATCGGCCCATGCGCTTTCAGTAATACTGACAATATGGTACTGTCATTCAATAGTGTTTTCCGTAATTTTAATGAGTAATATCAATTTAAATTTCTCGTAGCCTTTTAGCCAAGTTACTCAGGCCGAACCTTGTTAGTAATACTGACAATATTTTACTCTGCATTAGTATTATTTTTTTCTGTCATTTTAATATCTACACTATTAGTAATGGCAAATATGACTTCTCGCAGCCTTTCGATGTTACTCGCTTACACTGTCAGTAATACTGACAATATGATACTGTCATTACAGTTGTTATACTGACAATATTATACTGCCAATCAGTACTATTTCCCACCATTTTAGTAACTACATTATCAGTAAAGGCAAGTATGACTTCGCGCAGCCTTTACATGTCACTCGCATACACTGTTAGTAATACTGACAATATTACATTTCCATTACATTAGTAGTACTGTACCGACTATATGATACTGTCAGTAAGTAGTGTTTCCCACCACTTTAATAACTACACTATCAATAATGTCAGTACTTGAAAATAGTCCCAGTACTTCGTTTATTATAATTATGGTCATAATCGCTGCCTTATTAAAATTTACGTGTACTTTTTAAGCGTAATCGGACACTTACATGTTACGTCCTTATAAACAATACAAAAACTAGGAAAACCTAAAAGATAAACCGGTTGATATCCTCTTCTAATAAACTCTTCTCTCTTCTAGAAGTAACAATCTTCTGACTTTTTCTTTGTTGAAATCCTTCAAGACCTTCTCGAATAATCTCCTGTATAATAAAAACCTGCAAATTCAAATACAAAGAAAGAAAAAAACGCATTCCAAAGTATAGTGTCCACACCTTGATCCTCCACAGTCGGAATATTCTTCCTGCGTATGAGAATTGTCTGTTTCTATGTCTGATAAGTGGGGGTATATACTTGTAGGTTCGGGAAGGGCGACGCCCTTTGATTCCTTTTTGTTATTGTTAACTTTTATTCGCTTAACGTCATCCAGGACTGACAGGACGACTGGAGAGTCTTGAGAACCTGGAATAGAAAATAATTCAGTGTTAGGACCAGATACGAATAATCGTACACTCGCTGTTGGTTACAATTGTATGGGAAGTCGAAGTTCCTTTTTTAAATGTACATATAATAATATGGTGATCAAAAAACATTATTTTTGCTACATGTCCATACCCTAAAGTGACAAAATTCAAAATCTAATTTTTATGTAACTCACAAAATACATACATCAAAAGTGTCTAGGGATCAAGGTATATTTTTTTAATATTTGATGACCCTATTAAAGTTAAATAAAAATAACTGTACCAATTTATTAAATTATTTATTTACGTACTTACTTATTTTATAAATTATGAAATTATCCAAAAAACCATTAGTGTTAAAAAATTATAAAAACCTGATTTTCCGTAATGGACAGAAACGTACTCGATCCCTAGACACTTTTGCTGTGTATAGATTTAAAACTATATACTTCGCATTTTGACATTTAGTAATTGAGGGGGCGGTATGTAATAAAACAATAGTGTAAGGGTGTCACCGACTTATCGACACGAAAACGCAATAAGCCGGCAAGAAAAAAATTATATCCATGCAAGTCGATCGTAATCGTCAACATAGTCAACATACTAATTAATGCGTACATTAATTAGTATGTTGACTCCCTAAACAAACATTGTAAACAGCGAAAGAAAACAAATTGACCCGCGTCACAAAAAAACCTGTTTTGCATTAAAAACAGATTGGAGTTAACAATTAATATCAAATTAGTTCATTTATAGTTTTTGGTATGTTAAAGGATGTAGGCGAGTTTCCTAAGTGATGGAATTACAAGTATGTTTTGGTTTTTCCGTCAATTAATAGTGAAGGATTTTACATAATGTATAGATGCAATTCTAGGTAGGATATAGATTTATTATTCAGACATAAAATAATATTAGGAACTAATCTTGGCAGTGTGTATAGGAAAACGACATTCGTTAGAAGACTAAAAAGAATGTAAAGTTAAAAGGATGTAAATAACTTGGCTTGTCTTACATTTCATGAAACATATAATCTAAAGTTTGGTTGTATATTTTCAGAATTTTATTCTATCTCTTAATATCATCATTTTTTATGAGAACAAGCTGTGCGCCCGGTGGTAAGCGACACGCCTACCTATAACAGTTACAGAGCTTTAAACTGCAAAGATCTGAATCTGAAATCCCAACTATGTGCCTGTAATTTAATCAACACCCTTACCCTTTAAAACCGGAATGCAGTAATGCGCACTTTAGGGCGCGTTCCCACTATGTCGTGACGACAGATTGTCGTGCAGTTTACACTGTCGTGGCTTGTATATTTAAATGAAGCTGTTGACAAATAGCACGACACAATTAACTGTCGTTCACGATTTTTTATCGTTACAACGACAAACTGTCGTCACAGTGAGAACAGCTAGAACGATAGTCATCAGACGATAAAAAAACGTCACGATAAAAACGTGACGACAGATTGTCGCAGCTCCTATTGTCGTCACGATCTAGTGGGAACAGCTAGTCACGACAGTCGTTCAACGATAAAAAATCGTCCACGACAGATAGTCGTGATATGGGAACAGGCTAGACACGACAGTCGTCCAACGATAATAAAACGTGACGACATAGTGGGAACGCGCCCTTACATGCACACGTTTGACGGCAGAAATAGGCAAGGTGGCAACACTTTCCTGGACCAACTCTTTCACGAAGAGCTCTACAGCTACTAATTCATTTATTCATCATGTACATGTAGACAACCAAATGTAACGAAACGGCCTCGTCAAAAATTCTGACCGGTGTATTATTAAAGAACGGCAACACTCACTTCTTCTTTTAGTAGGTTGCGACCCTACGACATTGTCTTTTTGCGCTTCTTTCTCCTTCACCTCCTTGGCCTCAACTTTGGGTATATTAGCTATGATTTCTGGTTTCCTGTTAGCCTGGGCCAGGCTTATCGTGCTACCCATGAGAGGCGCTTTTTCTGATGGATCAGATTCACTTTGCTCGTCTTCTGAATCGTGGGCATCTTCAGGTTTTTCTGGATTTGGGGGCTGAAAAAAGGATTAGTTGATTAGGATTACGTATTTTGATGTTAAATCTACGATTTAATTTCTTTTTCTATCGATTTAACCCTGATGAAAATTGATTACCACCAAACAAAAAATATTTGTGATAACCAATGAACTCTCCTTTCTACAATACTTTTCTATTCACTTGCATGCCTCCCACGCATACAATTTTCACACCCTGAATATTGTACGTACACGTCCTCGTTCCTAACAGTTTCCGACACGATCAATCTTAATATTTATTCTTTTTATAATTGTCTCTACCGTCGTCACAATAGCATTATACTTACAGTTAAAACCATTGATAGGAATAAATAGGGTAACATCAATACAAATGTAGTGTTATTGTATTTTGGGAAAGATAATTATTACTACCTCAGAGCTCATACCTATATAAGAAGTTTACGTTTTATTTTAACTTCAATTGTTTTGTTACTTATATTCTGAGACCGAACAATAAACATGTCTCAAGAAACCAACGTGTTTCAACCTAAGTCCATTCAAATAATATGAGATGGCGACCCATATCAGGGAGCTAATCTTTTGTAAAGCAAAGTGATAGCTGAAGAAATTCGAATTTGAAAAACATGAAGAAAACTTGAAAATGTAACATCAAGAATAAAAGAAAATTAAATTATAGAAGATTGACAGAAATACATTGAATCTCAATTGTAATAACCGCCATTGGTCACGACAGAATAATATTGCGCAATTTCCTTACAGGGCCTACTTAAAGTTCTGAAAAACAAGAAAGCAATGAATCAAGATTTGTCAGAAAAAATGTGTGCGAAATACCCCTACCACAGAGTCATAATCTCATAAAAAAAAAAACGGTGAATCAAGATTTCTCAGAAAAAGCAAATGCGAAATTCCTCAAATCACTTTCCATTTTGGTATAACCTACTGCCGTGACGACGCCAGATTTCACCATCATTTCGCAATAACATACTTTCTATAGGGAAAATGAACAGTAAAAAGATGTTGACGTACCTCTGCAATAAACTGTAGGAAAACCCAACAATATATCCAAATTTAAAAAACGTGTTCGAATACTTTCGCTTGTTATTCTTCCAAACAAAACAATGGCGGCCTCAGTGGCCTGATGGTTTGCACTGTGGGTGCTGGATGCGGAGGTTCCAGGTTCGATTCCCGGTAGGGCCAATTTGGGAAAATAACTTTCCGAGTGCCGCGAGTGAATTCCATTGCTCTGGTACTCATAGTACAGGGAAACACCTAGTTTGAGTTGTTGTCTGACACATAATAATAATGGCAATTTATTTGCTTGCAAAACAAAATGAAAAGTTTTTCTAATAAATTGAATAACAATTCAAAATACCCCAAATAATCTGACATATTTCAAAATAAAAATATCTTATTATATACTAATAAGCTCTACAAAACTCTACTTCTCATTCGTACGTAGATTGCCCTGAGACGTATGAGTAGGAAACTCCAGAGGTTGGCCTTAGAACATGGGCATTTGTCCATATTCATCATTAACAAATTATTTCACAACTTTATTATCAATACCCGTTAACTATATATCAGTTCTGCATTTTTAATTTAATTTTATAGGTTTTGTTTATCGAACTTCACTACTTTATGCACGATGATGTCATTGCAATAACAAACGTCATAATCTTAAGAAACATCACATTTAAGACTTTACAATAAGGAAAAACAATTTAAAAATGTTTGTACTGCTTCTTCTTCAAGGTGACCATGAACTTGTTCATCTCACACCGAATAAATCACTTTGGATGTAGTTATACTCAGTAATACATACAAAAAAATGTTTCAATTTGCCTATCATTCATTATCTGCTGTTATTGTTATCCCTAATAAAGGGCTCATATGTGTAGCATTATTTTAAATTTAAGACATGTTTACCATATGAATGCAATAAATATATTGAGTATTGAGTATCTATAATTTAGAAACTTTCTATTTCCAAAAGACTATGGTGCAATATGGTGTGAAAATTATCACATATTAATTTTTCAACTTGGCGTTGTGTAAGTTCGGCCAACAGATTGGTTGTGATTCAAATTTGTTGTAGGTGTTACGTGTAGTGGTAGTTCAGTGGGGCAAAGATTGCTCAATTGAAATTTTAGGTTCGACTCTCGGTGGCTTTTTTATGGCGTCAAGTAATGGGACGAACAAGACATACGCCTGGTAGTAAGCGACACACCTGTCCATAACACTGTCACTCAGAGGGCACTGCTACTGTATCCAACACCCTGAGACATAGTCGTCAAGTCTCATGTGCCTGTAATTTCACCAGCACCCGTACCAGCCAAAACCGGAACGCAGTAACATTACTGCTAGTCGGCAGAAATAGGTAAAATGGCAGTACTTCCCTGGATGAACCCTTTCGCAAGCTCTACTGCTACTAAACTATGTCTTGTAATGTAATACGTCTCTCCTTAACGCTGAAGGAAAACATTGTAACAAAACCTGAAAGCTAGAGAAGATTGTGCCACTTGTGACGTCTTACCCACATTGTACGCAGTTACAGGATAATGACCATACGCATTCTTTAGAGACCCGTGTTCGATAGTGGGACGTATAACGGATAAATTACGATGATGATTATAAGAAATCAATAAGGAAAAACTTGGAAATGAAATATGTAAAGGCAAAAATACAAGCGAACTTAAATACGCAAAAACGTTAAACGGGTATGTAAATTTAACACATGTAGTAAGTAATGGTGCAAATCTGGGCTTGGAAGGAGGAAAATACCACGTAAAACTTAACAAGGGTATATTTTAAACAAAGAAGCAGTGATAGTAAACATTTTCTTAAGTCAACAAATTATAAAAAAAGGAAAACATCGTCTGAAATGATGACAAATGACATTTAAAAATGACACGATTGTAATTATTTTATAAAAAAAGATTCCATTGAATGTTTGGAAGTTCTGTTTATTTAAGTTTTTTATAGTGCAAGTCTTTGAAATAGATTAAGTACGTGCAGATATATATATATATTATATAATTAATAATAGAGAACAAAATACTTATTAATTACATAAAGATAGTAAATGTATTAGAGAACTTTCCTTGACGGTATTAAGTAAAATGTTTTGCTTACAAAATAACTGAATAAAATGGTGCATGATAAACGACCCAAAATTTCCTTCTGTCTAATGGTAAAAAATTCGAAGTATAGTTCCAAAACATCTCAAGTTATTACAAGTACTTGAAACGAATGCAACAATACAAAGTAAAAATAAGTTTCTTGAAACTGCAACATGAGACAAAGGTATGAACAGAAAATCTATAAATACTCCGAGACATGCGACTAAATTTACTAAGTTAAAGCAAAACTGACTACACGACAGGAATAGTGTAGAGGGTGCACTAATATAAATAACACTCACTGCACTTTGCTAATTACAGTGTACCTTTTATCAAATTATATTATCAACGTGTTCAAATATTAAAATAGATTTGTAATACGACGCTACAAGATGGGTAGGTGAACGAGGGGATCATGGACATCAAGGTCCTGGATGTGGTAACAATTATGCAAAGTTAAGAGTAAAGATAGGCGGGAGCCAACACACAAAGCGCACAAACGTTAGGCTAGAACCTAGAAATACTGAATAGTTTTTTTATGACCGAGAGTCCAAGAATCAACAACCTTTGAGGATGCCTTAGAGAAAGAATATACCGACACACGTGTCGCTTGTGACTGTAAATACGCTTGAGTTATATATTTTATTAATTTTATACGGAAGTAGGGTGGAAAAACTAACTGCATAAAAAAAAAAAATCAATACAAGCACGGCGGTGTTACATGCTTTAACCAGCACTGGGTTCGCAGTGTAGCAAGTAAATTTACTTCCATTTTTATTAACATGGATTTCTACAAAGTAACGCCTGAATCTATTATTACACTAGAAATACTCCTAACAACGGTTTCTATTCTGTCAAATAAAAGACAAACACGTAGAAGGTCGCCTACGGGAAAAGTGGTTTATCGACGTCAATACGAAAGGTATAAGACAGAACGCTTTTCAAGGATCCGACGACAGATTACCAAAGGAATTGATAATGAAAGAGATTTGTAGCCTTTACCAGTAAATAACATGGTATATATATATATATGTATATATAGATTTGTCAATTGAAAGTAGTATTTTCTATTCATCGTCATCAATTCTTTTATATCCATCTGCAGGACGCGGGTTTCCTTTTGGGATAAACCTTAGTCCTGAGAAAATGTAGGCTGGAGACTTCAAACTCTCCCAAATGCAGGTTTCACAATGTTTGTTTTCCTTTCCTATTAAAGCAAAGAAAAACATTGGAACAAAAGCTTATTATAGCAAGATAATTTTGTATATTGAAAACAATACTGTCGGTTGAAACTTTCCTTTTCCCAAAAGTTGACTCATTTAGTAACAGCATCGATTTCAACGCGCCTTTTGGTAAGTTTAAAATGTTCCTCGGAAATATTTAAGACCTCGCTCACCTTGTAAGCAAATCTATTTTGCAACATCTCCATTTCTTTCTCTCGTTCCTGCTTCACTTTATTGGCTATCGTCGTCTCGCTAATCGTCTGCTCTTTGTTGAATAGCGCGGCTAGCTTTCCCTTGATTCCTCCGACTGACGTTTGACTTATCGAATCTTCGTCTCTGACGACTGGTTTAGTGGGTATACTTGGTTTGATCGGTAGGGCTGGTTTTTTATCTGAAACATTTCGAAAAGGTTAGTTATTGAAATTTAGATTAGTTCTAAATGTTTCGTTGCGCCCTAAACTTTTTAAAACATTGTCAAAGTGTAAAGGAAAATCCAAAGTATTACATATTGCAAAGCAACGAATGCGACTGTTTTCTTCACGGTATCTACTTATTTTTCTAATGGCAGTAGTAGTAAAGATAAAAGAAGCTATAGTAAACTTTACGATATTTCATACTTTTACGTAATACTTAGTACGTAATGAGCAGATAACTGAATAAGCAGTGTATATTTATTCAAGTAATACACATAGAACAGATAATACCTCCCTTTGAATTCTTAGAAAGATTAATTATAAAAATAGTTACATTTTTACTTATAATTGTTATAAATATATTACCGAAGTATAGCTAATTAAACATTAAAAGTATAAAACAAAATACAATACAAGAATTCGGGGATTTCAGAGGGAGGTATTATTCACTTTATGCATATTATTTCCTTGAAATTTAGGTTAATATACACTGCTCTTTCCGATTTCCGGTTGTTAATCTGTTTTCTATAAATTTTACCTTTACATCTTTTATGTTTTCCCTATTCAACTGTATTCAAAAATAGATTTTAATTCGGCGTAATAAAACTACGTATAAGCTGAGAATACCAAACCAAACTAAGAGGCGACAAAGTAAATAGAGTACAAACTAGAGGCCAACCAGTATTTATCCATGAGTTCAACGTTTGGTGCCAACAGTTTTTTATATGCTTTACAACAATGTGTCAATAGTGCTTGTGCTTTGTAACGTTAAGGTAAAAAACGTAAAACATATTGTATTGGAAAGGTATTGTGCTCTTTATAAATAGAGGGGGATTATTTCATATTGCACTCGGGCCCCAATTCTACTAAATTCCCAATTCAAGAATGAAATCTGGTATTTGTAATTTCACAGAGACTCCACTGAGATTATATGGCAATTATTTATTATTAATATTTGTTATTCTGTTAAAATTTTAGTTGCAATGGCAGTCCCATATCTTTCTAAATAAGTTTTGTTTATAGTGCCCCTCTCTATCAACCTTTTAGTTATGCGGGAAGGGCACTATGACCAGTGCAAGCGAGCTTGCACACGGGAAGGGCTAGTGTCCTTCCCGTTTTGCACAGGTCATAGTTGACCTATGCAAGCTCGCTTGCACAGGTCAACCATGACCTGTGCAAAATAGTGCCCTTCCAGTTGCAATGGCAGTTGAGTCTCATTAGAGTAATAACAGTAGAGGCCCTTGTGAAAGAGTTCGTCCAGGGAAGTACTGCCACCTTACCTATTTCTGCCGCCAAGCAGTAATGTCAGCATTACTGTGATCCGGTTTTGAAGGGTGCTGGTGAAACTACAGGCAGATGGAACTTATCAACTTATGTCTCAGGGTAACGGGCGCAGTGGCAGTCAGGCGCACGACCTGTTTGTTTCGTCACTTCATATTCGAAAAAAAAATAGTGTCAGTGGCAATGATGGCAGCATTAATTAAATCACCAACTAACTAAATCTGCCATGGAAATTACTACGAATATCTTAATTTGTACCTCGTTTAATAGTCTTTAAATTATATCTTTAAATATATTTTTTATGTCAAACAATTAGCAGGCGACATGCCATTGACTCGCCATTGAATGGACTAATATTGTAGATAGCGTTACAAGAATTGGAGTGAATGTGGGTTATATATTTCTGTATCTAATGGACCAATAAACATGTTTGACGTAACTCCGCTTATGCCTTTTTTCCATGAGGGGTGCGATATGTTTCACACACCTTTTATGTGTATTTTGCAACTTCAATTTTGTCTAACACGCAATTCTTGCAATTACCAGGAACTATAACAATAGCAACTAATTTCTGTGAAATTAAAAATACCTGCAATGCAATTGCGGAAAAAAGTGCACAATTCTCTCCTTAAACCATTATAAGGGTTGAGACAGATATTACATAACAATAGAATAACATATTATACTGGTTAGAAAAACAGATTAGCAGCTATAGAGCCCGCATTTTGTACAATGTGTTCAATTGATCTATTTAATAGGTACACATTATCGGTTAGCGATTAATAAATACCAAAGTTGTTAACGAAGCCCATATGGGTATCGCGGTATTTAGGTTACAAGAACAGATATGTACACTGTGTACACTATGAGTTTGGCGGCAATTTTAGCTGAATACGTCAAGATAAACAGATGTTTTATTCGTATTTTGCCTTATATCAACATCAACTCATTTATACGCCCCACTGCTTGGCACGGGTCTCCTTTCAGGTACGGGTTTTCCGAGGGTTGTGAACCTTCTTCGACGTGCAGGTTTCATCACGATGTTTTCCTTCATCGAAAACCTCATGGTAAATTTCAAATTAAATTACGCACATAAATTCCGTAAAACTCGTGAGTTCAGAGTTTTCAAATCCGGACTCGCACGTCCGGATTGCAAAATTCGAGACCACGGCCTCCGCTAAAGAGGTCATACCATTAGCCTACCACGGTTTAACTTGTATCACGACCTAAATAAACATATATTGATATTTGAACATTTGACAGATGTTGGAACATCAATTGGATTACAAGAACAGTTGTTTGCCACGTGTGCCAGGGTTCGCGTTTTTTTATCATCCAGTAAGACAAATCAAAATTCGCACAACATTTTATATTCTAAAATTAAGTTACATATTTACATAATTATTTTGACCATTTAATATTGACTATAACGATAGAGTGGGAATACAATTATACGGTACGATATGTAGGTTACAAGAACAGATGCGTGCAAGCGGGCACCAAGGTTCGCGCCTCTTTAACCTGCAACCTGTTTTATTAACTTGTTCTGTTGTTACTCGAGTGTCGGCACACAAAAACGATTTGTTGACGCGTGTAGATTACTATTACAGTTTAACTACTATTGTTTTCGAAGACTAACAATACCAAACAGAAAACGCCCTTATTCGTAGCACGGGATATATTTTCCCCATCAATGATGATCTCGGTGGCCCAATGGTTTGCATTGTAGGCGTTGGAATCGGAGGTCCCGGGTTCGAAGCCCGGTGGGAGCAAATAGTGCCCCGGAGTGAATTCCGTTGCTCTGGTACTCACAGTACAGGGATTTCCATGGTTAGAGACCAGGCAACTGGTATGGTTGTCTGGTACATTATTTTCAAATAACGCAGCACCCCATATAAACTCAAAATATTAATCTTTGTAGACATGGCTCATTAAGGGTTAACTCACAGCACCGTATTTAGAAGTAAGTCAATCAATGCGTTAGCGTTTTAAATACGAAATCTGCAAAAAGTTAAACGCGAAAGCGTTTCGCCAACAGTTTAGGAGAATACATGGCCAAAAATGCAGCCAGGAAGCTAGGCATCCTTTCCAAGGTGAGGCGTTACTTCACACCGGGACAGTTGCTTCAGCTGTACCAAGCACAAGTCCGGTCGTGTGTGGAGTACTGCTGACACTTATGGGATGGCTCTGCTAAATACCAACTGGCCACCTTGGATTCAATAGACAAGTGTGCTTAGAGGATTATAGGGTACTCGGAATTAGTAGAGGCGAAGCTGCAGAGCTTTGTACACCGCCGTAAAGTTGCCAGCTTATCTGTATTCTACAGGATAAATCACGGAGAGTGTGCGATGGAATTGCATAATTTGATTCCGCCTACTCCTTTCCATCATTGGGGGACTAGACGTGGGCTCGGGTTCCAACCCTATGTTGTGGATATTCCCTAGATTCGCACGAAGCCTTTCGCTTCCATTTTATATGGCGAGCGGCTAGGGAGTGGATTTCCCTGCCTGCAGACTTGTTCCCCGAACGGTATAACTTGAACCTTTTCAAAGCAAGAGTGAATAGGCATTATTTAGGTGTGCATGCTACATCCTCGATCTCATGGTCACTTTCCATCAGGTGAGATACAGGTCAAATGCGCATTTATTTTTTATAAAAAAAAAGGAAAAAATAATTTACATAAATAAATACGTAGTTAAGTGCTCTAGTGCGATCATTTGAATTTATAACGTATTTTTAAACGCATGAGTATATAAAAAATAGTTGTATTTATGTAAAGGATGTAAATAATTGCGTAGCTGTGCAAATTGCCTCATTGTTCCGTGTGGCGATAAACATGGTCTCTCTAGTTGACACTTGGGAAATCGTTTTTTTTTATACAATAATACAATGTGGACTTTATTAGGTACTGTAAAGCCTGACAATTTTATCTGAAATTTGCGCCGTATTGCCGAAGTCTTTAAGAAGTAATTTTTTTTATAATATCAAGTGACGGGAGGAACAAGTCGTGCGCCTGATGGTACATTACACGCCTGTCCATAACAGTTGGAGTGCTACTCAAAGTTTTAAATCTGAGAGGCACTGCCACTGCGCCCGTCACCCTCAGACAAAAGTTGACAAGTTCCACGTGCGTGTAATTTCATCAGCACCCTCCTAAACCGGAACGCAGTAATGCTAACATTACTGCTTGGCAGCACAAATAGGTAAGGTGGCAGTATTTCCCTGGACGAACTCTGGACACTGGCGTCAAACGTATTTGTAAAAATATACTACTATTACACGTTCCGAAAGTTACGTGTGTTTAGTAACATTTGTTGTAACAAGTTGTATTGTTCAAAAATATTATCTTTATGATAAAAATGTGCATTTGGGGAAGTTAGCTTGTCTACGACAGGATGCCGTAAGAGGGAACCTGTGTCCAACAGTAGTATTTAAAATCATACAGTGCAGTACACCGCCTGGGCTTTAAGTCGAAGAATAGACGTCTGTCGGTTATAAAACACTCTTTAGATTCACTTTTTAAATAAATAAATCAACATAATTTGGCCTAGTTGATTGGTAAGAACAGTGTTGAATAACGCAATATATAATTACGCAACGTAGTCAAAGATTTTCTGATAAATCACCTTATTATTATAAAAACAAACAAGACACTTACAATTCAACAAAAAAAAAGCCTCAATAGAAGTCTATCAAA